CATAAAATTCTAGTTAGGATTGCATGTAGTATGTCATAAGCCACTATATATACTACAAAAGGAGTTTACCGAATTTTTCAACAACCCCACCCCCTTGGCTTACTTTTGACTCAAAAGGGAAACTCTTTTATAAATAAACATATATAGATACTATATATCCACGTTTGTGAATATTTAACAATAAATAAGAAGAGAAACTAGAAAATAAGTTTAAATGAGATAATACCAGAGTTTCGAAAATATTATAGATTGTTGCTGGTTGAAAATAAGTTGAAACCCTTTAAAAAAATTGCCCAATATATTTATTATTTTTCGAAAGAGAGTTTAAATGTAGCTTGCTTTACCCACCATTTTCACAGATTTCGATTTATCTAATATATATTCACGATTCGTGAAATATCAAAAATATCTCTGAAATGTAAATGTATCATGTTTAAAGTGCAGACTTCCATCGTCATTCTCGCAGTGTTTTATTTATGCTAATGCATGAATCCGGCATGCAGCTGGTATTTTGCCGAGCAACAGGACTCCTTTTGGGGCAGCTGCTTAGCAAACGACGTTGCCGCCGCCCACGTGCGTGGCATGCAAGGAATTTCCAATCAATTTTAATTGGCACGCCATCAATAAGAACGCAGCACCAGCAGCAGCAGAGGCAGCAGCAGTACAGGCAGCAGCAGTACAGGCAGCAGCAGAAGAGATTTCCAAATCTCAAAGTCTTTCAAGATTTCCATGTTGCTTGCGACTTGTGTCGCATGGCTAAACGAATTCCCAAAATATTTGTGCATAATTTTAATTAGAGCATTTTTCTATTTTGCGCAATTTATCTTTGCCGCTGCCACTCGATAAGTATTTATTTTTATTTTTAAATTCGTGCATATGGGTATGTGTGTGTGTGTGGCAAGTGTCAGAGTGGCATGCCACTTTTAACTGGCAATGAGTGTCAGCTCATTGCAATAAATTATTTTAAATGAGCATATCGACAATGCCTGTGCCGCGCGTGTGTGCCACGCCCCCCACCAACACCGAGCTACTTCTATGCGCCTAGACATAGACATGTGTCTCTTCTGGATTCCGGTAGAGTATTTGGGGCATTTTTATGCATTGCCCTCTGACATTGTCTAAGATTTGAGGTATTTGAATTTCTGACTTTAGCTGCTTTAAGAGCGCGCAGATAAATCTTTCGGCGAGCCAATCAAAACTTGTGCCCAGCTCATTTAAATGCTCTTTGGGGCTGCACAACAAACTCATTTAAGTTTTCCCCAACAACAGCAGCAGCAAGTGCAGCGGCAGCAGGAGGAGCAGTGGGGGCAACGGTGGAATGGGTCCAGCAGCAGCAGCATTCAAGATAGGTAAAAAGGATAACGTCGACACACACACCCAAACACAGAGACGGGGCAGTCCGAAATTGTCGCTAAGGGATTGGCAGCGCCAACTTTTGCCCAAAAATGTTGTCGGCTTAATTGCCAAGTGTCCTCTCGGCCAGAAGTGCAAAGGGAGCCTTAATTGCTGAGACTCGCCGGCAACGGTCAGTTGTCGGGCAGCGTCCTAGGCCAAACTCAAATGTTTAATTGCCATTTAGTCCTTTTTAATGGACTCCACTGTACTGGCCGCTTGCAAGGCCGTGCTGCGTTCATTAAGAGCCACGTCTAGATGTGCGCTCACCTCCTCGTGTCCTGTCGATACATTATCTCCGACTCGTAGTTGTTGCTGTTGTTATGCTGTTGTTGTGCCTTTAGATAAACCTGCAAATGCTAGCATTTTAATAGCCAAAAGACGACCACTGGAGACGCAGCATTTTTGACTTAATATGCCACAGACCGTTATCTGTGCGTATGTGTCTGTGCTGCAAACTGTGTGCCCCGTCTGCTCGTTTGTGTTGCATAAATTTCGGCTGAATTGCTTGTTGTCATTGCGATTGTTGTTGTTGCTGCTGCTGATAAGACGCCGTCGATAGCATGACAATTAGCCACAACTATATTTAAAATGTGTATTACCCCTGGCAATAGCAAGTCTGGGGTTGCTTTAATTGTTTCTTGGGAATTGTTGAAAGCGCAAATACAATTTGATTCCTGATAGCTGTCATTGACCATCTGCAAATTGCAAATATTGCAAGTAGAACGCTTGGTCAAAATCTTAAAAACAGCTAACAGGGTATATTGGGCCAATGCATAGTCTCATTTGTCTGTCTGCCAACAAGAAACAAAATATTTTCCATTGTATCTACATCCTCCACAACTTTCAAGCTGTGGTCTACAAATAAGAAGAGAACTTTTGGTATTGCAGATGTAGGTAGATGTACTCTCTAAGCGATCCGGGTTCCAGTTCCAGGCTGTCTTTTCCCACCTGCCTTCAGATATACAGGAGCCGGGTATATCGTAGTCATTGGCTTTTCAATCAATTGTCAGCTGCGCTGGTCAACTCTTTGCAGACTCTGCGTATGCTGTGCCCCGCATTCCCCACTTAAATGTTTACTCATCCTGCCGCTGTTGCACTTATATTTAATGAAAAAAATAAGGCGCTTTATGATTAAATTACGCCCAGCTCTGCTCGAACTTGCGCTTGACATAAACATAAACTTGGCGCCCTTTGTGCTGGGCACAAAGCAGTAGCAGCAGCGGCGGCGGTGACTCCTGCCCCGGCCAAGTAATGTATCCTGGCCGCCGGCTAAGCAACACAACAAAAAACACCTTTAATATTTTCATTATGAAGTCATTCAGCGCGATTATGAACGCGTGACCCCCGAGGCGACTAACAGCGTCCAAAGCACAGGATTCAAGTCCGCCCGCCCGCCGTCCTAATGAACAACAACAGGACAACACTTCAACTTGGCGGCTGCTGCTGCTGATGAAAGTGGTTCAAAATGCCAGCAGAAGGCGGCTGGAAGCTGGAAAATCAGCAGCAGCAGCAGCAGCATCAACCGCCTCAGTGTGGAGCTTTTTGAGCTGAGGTAAATTACAATTTTGTTTATAAGTGGCCGTCGCCCTGGAGGAGGGTCTTGTTGCTGGCCAAGTGCAGCTGTACCCAATAATCATAATAATTGCGCCATGGGCGTCAACGTCGTCAACTTTGCCAGACGCCAACGCGGCCGACAACAATTGCTTACAAAGTGCGTGTGACACATTAACGCAAAAAAAAGAGAAGAGAAAATAGGAAAAAAGCGCGGAAAAGTGCTAAGGAAAAAGGCAAATAAAATGGGCGGCGAACTTCAAAAGAAATAAAAATAAAATGTTTGAAAGAAAAGTCCTTTAATGCCGTGAATTTTACGCGGGATTTCTATAAAGTGCAGCGCCCAAAACGGGGCGGGGGTGACTGCCCAGTTCCTCCAGGCGGGGGTCCTGCGGTTTGTGCCTCGCACCAAATTGAAAATGTTCGTGCGTAAATTGACTTTGCGACAGGGGTGTATACGCACATAGGCAAATCAGCCTGTGCCCCGAAAATTGAAATGGAAACAAACCGAAGCGGCCAGTTTTCAGTTTTTAGCTTTCAGTCCTGTTCACCTCATGTCCGGGCGGCCACTTTTCAAATTGAATTTCTTGGAGTGCTGTGTAGAGCGTAAGCAGCGGAAGCAAATTAAAAAGAAATTAAGCCAATTTGCCGGGCACAGGATGCGGCTCCATTTCAGCTCCAAGTGCCTTGTTGTGGCTCGTAAATCTTTGGCCCATAAATACCATACCAGGAGCTCCTGGCTGGGAAGCCCAGGCCCGGATCACGTCTCGCTTGGCTGCCGACATCTTCATTTCGGCGTGAAATTCTTTAATCTCATTCAATTCAATTAGTTCGAGTTGACTAGTTAATGCGGCGCGAACAGTCCGCGAATGTCCTTTTTGCCAGCTGCCCGCTTAGGTGTGCCGCAGTCCCAGTCGAAGTCCCGCTTCCTTATCCTTGTCCTAGTCGTGTGGTTATGTCGTTTTGGCGCTTATGCCTTCTTTTTGTCACTGCGCATTAACTTTTGAAATTTATGGGCCAGTTAGAAGCGGCAGCAGGCGAATTTGTATGAGATTACGTTCAATACCAATTAAGAGATACCCAAAACAGATTCGGCGTTTTGCAACAACTTGAACACATGCAGAAATTTATCTACTTTAATCATGTCAGGGACCTGAAATGTGGAACCTCTGAGTCAACTGAAAATGAAGTGTCACTAGCTCGATACCCCTGGGAGAACAATTTAATTATTATAAGTCTACCAGAAAAAAATAGCCGCGATTGTCTGGGTCAAATGAATATTGTAAAAATAAAAGTTGATCATAATAATTGTTTTTAACAGATATTGTCTCAATTGCACAAAAGAAAAAAACACATTTTCCAATTTAAATAAAAGTAAATAAATGAAATACTTAATAATTTGGTTTCACTGGGGTTCGATCCCTCAGCTTCGTGCTTGATGTGTTGACGCAACCCATTGCTTAAGCCCTGCCAGAGAGTATATTCGACAGCATTGTAGCTAATATTGATATCTCATTTGATTTTAGTCTACTTGTGAGTCTGAATCCCAGTCATTTAATTGTTATGCAAAACTTTGAAATTAAGTTTTAAGCCGAACAAACCAAAATTTACCCCAATATCTTTGAATCGAATTTTCCACCGAGGAATTTAAATTTATGAATTTCACAAGCAGCTTTGAAAATGAATTTGAGCCACTTAATTTCGATCAGCATATCCACCAAGGTGGAATGGATTTTCAAAAAAAGTGTGAGACACCCCTGAAATGTGTTTGAACAAATATCTTTGGATGCTAAGCCAAAAATTTTCATACAAACGTTTGTCGCGAGATTTATATACCTTTGGGTGGGATTTTTAAGACCCCGGTCTTATCTTTCACCTCCTTCACATAAGGTAACTAGTCAAATGTTCAGTTTCCTAGCTGCAACGGCTTGGGCCGTGCGTAGATGGACAATCAGTCAGTCAGTCGATCAATCGATATATATAGAGATTTTGTGCATAATTCCAATATGCTAAGTATATGCTGCATATACCCTGTAGAGCTTATGATGTATGCCGATTTATTGCTGTATATGAATGTGTAAATTTTGTATAAAATGAACACAGTCACATATAAATTTATTTCAATATGTTAGAGTAGACAACGAGCCGCCCCATTTTGATATGCCCTGCGGAAAGTGTACAGAGTGTATAGAATATAAAGATTAAATCAGAAGGGGAAGGCTGGTTGCTTCTTAAATTCTTAAATTTTGTGCCTCCCCGTAGCAGCTATTGTAGTGGTTGTTGTTTCGATTGAAGGTGATTAAGTAATTTTCGCATTTTAAGCTAAGCTACATGTTATGTTTATATATATATTTATATTGGGGGGTCTGGATCCACAGCTTGGTGGCTGCCACCAGGTTGCGAATCATTCAACTGCTCCGGTTCGCCATGCGGCGTATTATGCGGAGAGGGCTGACTCTTGCGGGGCTTGGCATTGCCAAAAATGCTGGCCGCCTGCTTGGTCTCGGCCAGCGCATTGATCGGTTCGGTTACGGTGCGCGGCTGTAGCACAATCTTTGGACGATCATCGTCGTCGAGATTGGCAAATGGTGGGCTGGTGCCACCGCTCAGCGATTGGTTATACCTTTCATTTGGGTTGTAGTGACCGCGACGATCTCGTGTCCGGTTTTGGCCAAAGTTCGAGTAGTGGCCGTTGTCATTGCTGATGCTTCGCTGGCGCGGAGGTCCTCCACGCCTATAGTTGTTGTTGTTGCGATCATTATATCTGGGCGAGTAGTGTGGACAGATAAGTGAAACATTGCTTCACTATAACATGCTTACCGATTATTGTTATAATTGTTGTTGTTTGTGTAGTGCGGAAAGCTACGACTACTTTGAAAGCTCGTCGATGATATGTGCGGCTCCACGCTCTGCCTGGGACTGCCCAGGCTGGACGTGTCGTGGCTGCCGCCGCCGAGGGAGCCAAAATCGCTGCTGTTGCTGCCGTCGTTGCCCTGGTAGCCATCGTTATTATGGTGGCTTCTACCTCCGCCGCCACCACCTCCGCTACCACCTCCGCCGGCGCCACCGCTGCCGGCGCCTCCACCGCCGCCCCTTCCGCCACCACCTCTTCGCTCGCCACCGCCACGCCCGCCGCGATAACCGCCTTGCCGCGGGCTGCCCTCCTGTCTGCTCATGTGAAAGTTTGTATTGGACGAACGATTGCCTACCGGACGACCTGGGCTGTTTTGCTTCCGCGAATATTGGCCCTGGTAGCTTTGAGAGCCAACACTATTGTCGCGTCGAAAGTTGCGGCGCTGATTGTGATTGCCGCCACTGCTGGACGCAGCTCCTCCGATGACGCCACCAGGGCCGCCCTGACGCCGATGATCGGCAATATCGATGCGCAGCGGCGCCGACAAATTGTCCAGTTTAATGCGTCCATTGCGGGATAACGCACGCTTTAGCTGTTCCAATGTCGTAAATTCCACGTAGCCGTAGCCCTTGAACTCGTCAGTCTCCCGATCTTTGATCAGGCGCACGCTCTTTACTTCGAAATCATCGAAAATCTTCATAACATCGCCCTGGACGAGACCCTTGGGCAGGTTGCCAACAAAGGCAATGTATGGCGGATCGGTTGGCACTTCCCTGTTGCGATCCCGAAAGTCACGGTTGCGATTGTGAAAGTTACGATATTCTTGGGAATTGCCACGATAGTCACGGTCATGATTGTTGTTACCTCTATCGTTGTTTGACCGATCTGCCATATTCTACGAGCTTATCAGTATTTAAACAATATATTTTTTAAGTCCGGAGCTCGTATTCCCAGACGCTGTGGAAACGGTCTACGAGAGACATTGGAGTTACTTTGAATTGACATTGCTTCAAAACTCACTAGATCCTATATGTTCCAGCATAGCCTTATTATTATTTAATTCTGTTTTCGAATGTTCTCCGAAACATTGTGAACATCCTGGACACACATCTATGTATATTATTAAGCTTGTCAGCCTGTATTTCCTATCCAAATTCCACGCGAAATGGGGCAATCTCAGGAGGAATCTCGTTCGTTGCGTGCGACACAATTTGTGGTAAAGGCAAGGTAAATTACAAATGAGAAATGTTAGCGCCTGGTCACCATCCCCATGGCCTTCGCCTTGCTCCTGCAGTCAGACCAACTAGAAATGCACGGAAAAACATGTGTAAGCAGAGGAGCAAATGGCTCCATCTCCAGATTCAGCGCTTGTTTGTGTTATGGATACTAAAAAGTAAAACAACGGCGACGTTGACGACGATGGCAAGTACATGAAAAAGTCAACAGCAAATAGTGAGACCAAGCAGCATCAGCATCAGCACCAACAAGAACAACTGTTTTGGGGGCAACAAGAACAACTAACGCGTTTTGTTTGCACGACGAACTCATGACTCATTTTTGTACATTTGTCAAAATTTTTGCCATATATCATTTTAAACAGTGCGCGACATCGGCGAGGCCAAGGGGCAGGACCAGAGTCGTTGTGGGTACCAGTTGGAATATTATGCACTGCCACCAGCAATGCCAGCCGAGCCACAGTGGTCAGAAAGTGGCGAAAAAAAGCAAGGAGCACAAAATTAATCAGTATTATAGTTGTACAAAATATACTAGCAAGAAATCTATAGCATGAACCATCAAGATTTGAAGATCATTTGAATATTTTCGTAAATATATCCTATACTCTCTACTCATTTTGCTGATTTAGAAACCGCTTTTTATTTCTCTAAGCCAGCTTTGAGGCGCATAGAAATGCACTCTGGTATGCTTGTAATTCTCAACAAATTAAAGGGTATAAGGTCTTTCGAATCATAGCATCGATAGCAGAGTCTGTTGATGATGGGACCGTGACCGGGATCTTGCATTTGCTACGCTGCTAAATGTTTACAATGTCATTTGATAAGGAAAAACAATTGAGTTTTAAAACTTTCACCTTTTCTAGTGCCTGGCCTCAGTGTGCCATACACAGCGTTGGCTTGGCGGGGGGTTGGATTCGGCACACGCCAACGCATGCTAAAAGATAAATCGTCAGCAACACGGAATTAAAAACTGATGTAGCGATTAATTTATCACTCACTGGCAGAGCAACAAGCAGCTGCAAGAAGAGTTGCCAGCTACTGGCAATATTTAACTAACAAGTTGCAACTGTGAGGGGCACAGGGCACAGGGCACAGGGCACAGCTCCAATGGCACGAACAGTTTCAGTGGCATCTTTAGAAGCAGCTACGTAGCTCAGTTTCGAACCGAATGCGGACAGTAAATAAATTACGAGCAACAAATAAACGCGGTCGGCTGCACCGATGGACAGTGGCAAAGCAAAGGAAAACAAAAAGCCGAGCAAAGGCAAAAGTAAAGAGCGTAGCGAAACGAGAAATGTGGACAAACAAAGACAAGAAAACGGAACCGGAAACGCTTTCAGCTGTCGAATTTGTATGAGCTGCTTGCTGCGTGCCGCCTGCCCGCCTGCTCCCGATGGAATGCCAAATGCCATGTTCATCCTGTCTTAGGCCAACAGCGAGCTTTGCTGCCCTGCCCCATTCGTAAGTGTTCAATCATTTGATTGCTGCAACAATGCAACATCAGCAGCGGCAGCGGCAACGGCAACAGCAATGGAAAAAGAAGTGAAACACCGAAAAGGATTTATGGTCATCGATCAGAATTAATGAAGATTTTGTTTTAGTGTCCTGACAAAGCTCTACCATGCCACGACATGGTCAGCGGGGTGGCTGTACCAGGGTAGGGCAGTTCGGGACTGGAGTAGGTATGCCGCTTCAAATGGAGCATTTGTTGCTAATCGTTTTTTTCCAGGCTGAACATCGCTTGAAGCACTTGTGACCGAGTACTAACCGTAACTGCTTGAGTATTACACTACATTAGCGAAATTAAATTGATTTTGTTCTGCGCCTGCTTAGATTATTCCAAGGTCTGCTTCTTTCAACTTATTCTTTTTCGATCCCCTTGCAACCCTGGCGCTTCACATGCTCAAGAGCTGTTGATACTCGCATTTCACCACCTTTTAACTCTTATTAGGGCAGCGATTTCTTTCTACTTCTCTCTCTCTCTCTCTCTCTCTCTCTCTCTCTCTCTGTCCCTCTTTTTCTCTCTCTTTTCCCCACCCCTTGCCACTTTCACTGGCTCGTCATAATGCTCTCTTTGGCTTGATTTATGCTGCAGCGCCCACAAGTATGCAGCGTAAATATTTTTATGACCCAATATATGAACCCTGCCCTGAGCTGCCCCCGCCACCACCTACCCCTGCCCAACTGAACAACCCACCAGTGCACTTCTGTCTCAACAACCTCACATATGTATCTGTATAAGTATAAGTAGACCAGGAGCAGCGGCCCACACTAATCATATTAAATGAAATTCATACGTCGCCGCATTTATGCGATTTACTCAGCGACTCACGAGCCACTAGCGAGGGTTGCTAAAACGTTTCGTATAGCGGGCAATTGTTGTTATTGCTGTTGTTGTTGTTGTTGTTGCTGTTGCCATTGTTGCTGGCTGGCAACATTTTTGTTGTCGTTTAAACTAATTGAGTGTTACAAATTTTATGTGCAAAATCTTTAAGCTAAATTGAAATTTGTTTTGTTTGCCTTTGGCCTGGTCTTGTTGTAGTTTCTGTTGTTGTTGTACATTTTTCACATATGATGCGGGTTGTATATGAACCCATTTAATGTTATGTGCACATTTCGTTGTTGCTATCCGTAAGTGCGTTGAATCATTTTAAAAGTAAGGTATGCTTCTCACTTTAAAAAATTGCCTACCAAGTGATAAATACGTTGGGATAACTAACTTATAAAAAAAACTTATTTATTCAATGCCTATCATGCCCAACCTCCAATACTTACGTATGTACTGTACTGGATTAATATTTTGTCCTTAATAACTCGAACCTAAATCTTAATTGCTTTAACAAATATTCTTACTGTATATTTTATTGCCATCTATTTATTAGTAGGATAACGACACACATAAAGGAAGATAAAGTTTCTTAGATAAAGATGTTGCTATAAGTCAAACTTAAATTCACGAGAATCGCAGAGAAGAGCAAAATTTAAAATAACTTTTGTTAGAACTGGAATGCACATATATGCACAAATACATATAAACATGCATGCATAAATGCAAACAGGAATCATAATTAAAAACGAAGTAAACTTCGTCTGTATTCGGCTTAGGATGTCAAATATAGCGAGTATTACCCGGCCTTGTCCGAAACGATGATTAAAAAAAGTTTCCCTGTCTTTTCCGGGAGTGGAATGATTTAAATCTTCCACAACTGAATAACGCTGAATAACGTTTCGCATTATATTTTGTTAGATAATAAGTTGCCGGCCGATCATAGTAGATATTGGAAAAAAATTTCGTACAACGGTTTTTCACATTTGATAGTCAATGACTAAGTCAGCCTTAGTCACCTTAAGATATATTTTTCGATATAGGTTTATGACTGAGGTAAATTGTAAATGTTTTTTTTTTGTAATTATATATTTAGAGCTATTTATTTCTTATCTTGGCTTTATCTGTTTTCCATGGGCAACGTTCATGACTTTTGGCTTGAATTGATAATTGCGTCGCCGGCAAAACGCATTTTTGGCCAATTTACATAATTTACGATGGCAGATTTTTGCGGCCCACGCGCCAAGATTGGGCAAGAAAACTGCATACAACTCGAAACTCGAAACAATTTGGTCAGATGATTTGTGCCATTGCAGCGACTTGGCTGGCGATAAGATCCAAAAATTTGGCTGCTGTCTCGTCCGAATGCATGGGTTATAAACAAATTGGATGGCCAAATTAAACTTATGTCTGAGATTTATCATTTCTGCGGCCATATATCAGCGCCCGAGTGGCAGGCCAATAAAATATGGCACTTGCTTAGGGCCTGGCCAACAGGCAATTACCAATTGCCAAAGCCGCCCAAGCGAAAAGCTGTCGCGAGATTTTGAAAAATTAACAATGTCATGTACGAATATATACCATATACTCATAGCGCTAAGAGGAAGAGAGATATAGTTGTTTAGTTCCAAACTGTAGATTTATGCCAATTTAAAGAGACAAAACTTGTACTTGTACAGCTGCTGATGCTGATTTATGGCCACTCGCAACAATGTTTCGCAAAGGGTATCTAGTACCCAGTCCCATTCTCGTTCCCATACCCCATGCCGCCAACTATTTGAAGCTGGCCATAAATTATGCGTATGATCAAATTGCTACCTTCATGTCGTAGTCGCACAAGTTTTTGTGTTGTGCTTTCAATTAAGTCAATTGATTTTAATTAGACCATGACTTAGGCATATTTTTATAAGCATATTCCAAAGAAATTATTATTATTAAACACGCGACCCACCGAGGGGCACATATTCTTAACGAATGTTACCTCGATGTCGGCGCTGTGGTAACTTAATATCAGATAGAAAATACCCTCTACCCATTCGGCTCAATTAATGGGAATTACGAGTAGATGGCCAAGTCGCCGCATAATACACCAGCAGCAGCAGAGGCAGAAGCAGCCGTTGAGTACCCACATGTAATGCCAACTGGAGGGTAGATTTGGTTCCAGTTTGAGCTCCTTAATTGGTGACAGAGCAACACACACACACAAACACAGACACACAGGGTATAGAGCGGGACTCACATGCGACGTGCTTCAATTGAGGTGATCAACGTTAATTAAAAGCCAACAAAAGACAGTGAAATTGACTCAGCCGGCGGCAACTGTTGTTGGCTCATTAAGTGCTTTGCTCGGCCACGCCCACAAGCCAGCGCACTGTACGCCCCACTGAGCGATCGAGATGAAAAATTAACATTTCGCGCA